TTCTAAATGAGTTTTGCTCTTAAATCATTTGGCTTGCTGTTTACTCCCTTTTGTAGTTTTTAATCTAAGGAATTTTAAGTCTCAATTTAAAAATTATCACATTTAAAAGCTTTCTCTTTGTGCAATCTGAGTATATGTGAGAAATCACAATTGGCATAATTTCTTAGTGGATATTCAGGGCTTTGGAAGTCATTATTTCTGGGCTTGGTAAGTGAATTTAAGAGACCTACTGCTCTAGAAAGTGTAGACGGCCAAAGGACCATTTTGTATCGTTTCCTGGTTACTCGTCTAATTATACTGTGTGTGCTAATATTACTCTATTCTTTTTGTTATAGATTGTCTTAACAGTAGGTCAAGTAATAAAAAAAGATTAAATAATTTAAATCCTTAAATGAATCAGTTTTTCTTCCCCTTCTCCTTTCCTTGTCTTCTTCCCCCTCTCCCCCAGGAACTTTTAATCTGGTGGGCAAGAATGAAAATCGAGAGTGAATTATGGGATTAGTGTTTTGAAAGAATAATGTTTGTTTTCAGTGTTTCCAATCCATTCCAAAGAATGAATCTCAAATCCTTACTTGAAGCATGATTGAGTTGAAGCAGATCTGTTTACTGAGTAGTGGAAGGAAAAGATTCAGTCAAAAGCCAAGAGTTCCTTTTTATTCAAGACGGACTGGTTCTCTGGTCTTGGAACTTTCCCAGACTTCATGGGAAATGTCCCTTCTGCAGTCAAATGCTTTCTGGTTTAAATTTAATACATGCCTTTGGGTATTTAGGTATGCTTACTTATGTATATTTTACATTCATAAAGTCTTATTTCTGATAGTCTTCAGATTTCTGAGATGATTAAGTTGTACTCATTAGTTTATTGGTATTAATTCCTTCATATCCAGTGAAATTGGAGATGTGTCGTATTCTTATTTTTTTCTTTAAATTTTTTGTTATGTTAATCACCATACATTACATCATTAGTTTTTGATGTAGTGTTCCATGATTCATTGTTTGTGCATAACACCCAGTGCTCCACGCAGAACGTGCCCTCTTTAATACCCATCACCAGGCTAACCCATCCCCCCACCCCCCTCCCCTCTAGAACCCTCAGTTTCAGAGTTCATCGTCTCTCATGGTTCGTCTCCCCCTCCGATTTACTCCCCTTCATTCTTCCCCTCCTGCTATCTTCTTTTTTTTTTCTTAACATATATTGCATTATTTGTTTCAGAGGTACAGATCTGTGATTCATCAGTCTTGCACAATTCACAGTGCTCACCATAGCACATACCCTCCCCAGTGTCTATCACCCAGCCAGCCCCTTCCTCCCCCCCCCCACCACTCCAGCAACCCTCAGTTTGTTTCCTGAGATTAAGAATTCCTCATATCAGTGAGGTCATATGATACATGTCTTTCTCTGACTTATTTCGAGATGTGTCGTATTCTAGAACATTCTTTAATTTGTGCTGCTTTGGAACAGATGTACCTTGTCCGGATTCAGTAGCCCCTTCCCTCAGCCTGCTGAAGGGGAACATTCAGAGTCACCACAGAATATAACGGAGGAGAACTTCCTTGGATTGACTATATTGGTTCTAGTTTCGTTCTCCTTCTAGAACTCTGGCTCATGTGGAAATTGTCTTTTGTTTTTTAATGACTTAAATATTGATATTTATTTTTAAATACTGACATTTTAAAATTGAAGTAGCATGATGGTCATTTTCTTAATACTGCTTTATCTCCACAATCACAAATTAATAACTGAACCTTTTTGTATTTTTGTTCGGCCCCGGCAGTGTATTTCTAGATGGGCTAGAACAACATCGAGAGGCAGTGGCCAGATCACCAGTTAATGTGTCCCCCAAAGTAGCCATCATACTGCTGTCAGTAAAGGCTGCAGATAGGAGATTCCAAAAGGGTGAGTCTTAAACCTCTCCCATCTAACCCTGTGGAGCTTTCACATAGAAATCAGTATTGTGCACATTTAATGTTAAAATTTGTTAACATTAACTTGAGAGCTGTGACTTCATCCTGAGTCGACCTAAAACTCAAACCACCGATGAGCGTAATTTTTTTTGTTGTGTGCAAGTTCTGCCAATTTAGCTTCAGTAGCTTTGTGATTCCCAAAGTCACCACTAGATGGAGAGCTTTTGTTTTAGCATCTTGGTGAATGTCAAAGGCGTTAACAGTTGGTCCTCGTTATTCATGGTGTTGTATTTGCGAATTCTGTGAATTTGCCTACCTGCTAAAATTTATTAGTAACCCCCAAGTCAGTACTCGGAGCACTTTCCCTGTCCTTCCCGGATGTGAGCAGAGTGGCAAAGACTTCGATGGTCCTGATGTGTGTGTGCCCCGCGGGGCTTGAGCGAAGCACCGCGCTGCCTCGTGGTCCCGGCTGCCCGGCTGCCCGGCTGCCCTCACGTGTCCGTGTCCGCCTAGCGGTCTGTCCGGTGCTGCTCCGGCATTTTTGTGCTTTCTCTGGATGATTTCAGTACTTAAAATGGCCCTCAAGTGTAGTGCTAAAGTGCTGGCGAGTGTTCCTAAGGTCGAGGAGGCTGTGATGTGTGTCCTGTAGAGAAAATAAGTGTATTAAGTAGCTTCTTTAAGGTGCGTGAGTTATGTTGGCCACAAGTTCAGTGTTCTTAACAGTACCTGCTGTGGTGTCTTTAACACACCTTAACATGTAAGAGAAGATTACATATTGATTTATTTACAAAAATGTTGCAACTAGAGGCTCCCAGGAACCTCAACCCTGTATTTCCTCTGGGCGCAAATGGTTCTGTCTCCACTGATTTGGTGTCCGTGGTGACTTTATAAAACTACCACAAGTGAGAGAACCAACTGCACTTTTTACAGTCTTCAAACTCAGATTGTCTCCTGGCTTTTGGGCAGGCAAAACCGAATTCCTTCAAACCCCTTTCCCTACCAATTTTTGTACTGACAGTTCCCTTTCATTTTTCATTTCATTGTCAGTAGTAACGTGAAAAGTTTTTATAAAGAGAATTTTTATGTGATGGGAAGTTGAACAGTGGTCCAAAATGGACATGTTGGAAGAACCTGACAGTTAAAGGAGTCTTTTGTTCTCTGGTATTTTTGACAAATGATAGAGTCTTAATCTTTGCATTAGTGAAAAAATAATGGGGTGTTTTAAGTAAAAAATTAGGTAACTTGGTACTTTATGTATTGTGGTCAGACTCCATTCTATTACTCTTTGTAAAATACACCACAGTGTTTATTCTAGTCTATTTGAAAACCAGCGCATTGTCCTAGAAGTGGCCGGGTTTGGGATGGAGCTGTGGCTTACCTTCCTTAGGCTCAGGGGTTTGACACCCCAGACCATTCTGTGTTGTTCTTTGAACATCTTTGCCTGAATATTTTTCTGCCACTCGTCTGTGTGCAATTACCTAGTCCCTCCACCCAAAGACAATAGTGTCTCGAAGTAGGAGACAGTCCATGAAGTGGGAAGCCCTGAGCAGCGGTAGAGCCTGCGGGGGATGGAAGTCTCTGGGGGAACAGTTCTACTAAGGGGTTGAGTTTTTCTAAACCAACATAACTTCACAGACTGATTGAAGTACTGCTGGGTTTTTATATGACAGTGGAAAGAACACTTGGGAGTAGGTTTAAATCATTAAGTTGTGTGATTTTGTGAGACTGTTTTTTTCTGTGTACCTTGGAGATAAGGGATTCTCTGTGTGTGTTTGGGAGGCTGGGAAACCTGTCTGCTGACTGTCACCTGGGAAGAGCTTCTTGAGTGGCCCTGACGTTATTGTCCCGGAGACTGAGGCTCAGGGGTATGTAATGCGCCAGGGATATGGGGTACTGGGTGGGTCAGAAAGACCCGTGTCACTTGTCAGGGCTTGGACGACCTCTCTGCTGTCTGACCTGGCACCTGACAACTTCTTTTGGAACCCCCCCCCCCCACATACTTCTAGAATGTGAGCCTCTGGCCCCTATCGGGAAAGAGGATGTGCTGAGATCGGCCATTTGTACTTGTTGACTGGTCCATCACTCCATAGTATGAATACATTCCTGTCATTTGGGTTTTCAGACATGAATTACAGAATAAGAAGCAAAGCCTCTCAAGAAAGGTGTCTTGGATGTTGGCAAGTCAGTAGGGAGAAGGCTGAGGGGATGGGATCCTTGATGCATCCATTTTTAAGGGAGGCTTCAGAAGTCAACTTGAGGGGACCCCTGGGTGGCTCAGTCGGTTAAGCGTCTGCCTTTGGCTCAGGTCATGATCCTGGGATCGAGCCCCACATCGGGCTCCCTGCTCAGCGGGGAGCCTGCTTCTCCCTCTCCCTCTGCCCCTCCCCCCTGCTCGTGTGCTCTCTCTCTTGCTCACTCTGAAATAAGATCTTAAAAAAAAAGTCAACTTGATTGAGTCCTTTTTTGATAAAGCAGTGAGGGGAGGGCTATCTAGAGTGTCAGGCCTCTTCAGAGAGCTTCCTGCTTTTGGGGGCGGGTGGGCGACAGTCCCGGGCCCTTATGGGAAAGAGGATTGTAGTGGGTGGGCAGTGGGAGGCCCTGGCTTTTCTCCTGCCCGAGTCCAGGCGCATGCACCTGCTAGGCCCATTCCCCTGCTGTTCCACCTTCAAGAATACACTGGTTTTCCCTTCAGTACAATTCCTTCTCTTGTTGCTGGAGGCTAAATTTGACATACTGGATGTTATTTTGGTTGGTATTTAAATACTCTTCAGATTGAAAACGTCCCTTTTCAGATATTCTGAGCAAATTCCTCTGTTATTTTTACCCTTTGTAATAACGTTTCCAAGAAATTACTTTTGGACTGGTCAATAAGGGATTACTGTATTCAGTTGAGCCACAGTGACTGGACAGAAATAGAAAGTGTAAAGTCTTACTTTGAACCAGTTTGAGAGCTACCATGTTTACATTTTTTTTTTCGGTCTGCTCCTGAGATGCCAGATGTTTTATCTGGATCAGATGTGATCCTTGTAGATATAATAAGGATCTGGAGGTCAGCTAGGTATCCATTGGTGTCCTTTAATTTTATTCTACTCTTTCCTGGGACAAGGCTCCCAAACCTTCCAAGCCCGGCTCCTAATCCAGATTTCCCAGTGGGCTCAGGAGATGGTCTGTGGCCTTGCTGAAGCAGTGCTTTCTGGGAAGGGGGGGTGGCAAGGAGGTCCACTAGAGAAGCCGTGCACCAAGGAAGAAAGTTCAGTGGGTCCCTCCTCTTTTGCTCTTGTGGAATCATCCCAGTGCCCTGCCTCTTCCAGAGCTCATGACCCAGCCCCTCCAGCCTTGACGGGGATGCGAGGAAGCAGTGGTCCGCACCCAAGTCCACCTCTGGCTCCACGGGTAGTTCCTGAAATCTGGCTTCATCCAGCCCTTAGCTTGTCAAGTTAGCCTGGCTAGAGTCTGGGGCGGACTGTTCTGCTGGGTCCGTGGCTATGACATTCTGCTCTCCGTGGGCCTCCACGCACCCCTCCACTGTCTGCAGGATGATTTGGAGTCTCCGGTCCAGGGCCAGGAGGTGGGGTTCGGTGAGGACGGGGCTGAGCTGGTCTTCTAGCAAAGACTCCCGCATCACGTCACTGAGTCTATAGTCGGCCTGGGCCAGCAGCTGCAGGTGCAAAAGCGTTTTCTTTTTTATCCTGGAAGGACAGAATATAGGAGGCAAATAAGTAAATGTGAAGAGAAAAGCTTGCCTGAACGTCTTTCCCCACAAACAGCTGTCGTAGGTGATGTTCTGGGTGCCTTTTCCCCCAGTGTCTTCTCAAGCATGCGTTAATGAAAACCAGGGAAAAGGAAATAAATGACCGTTAACGACATCTGAAGGAGATTTAAAGCCACCGAGAGAAGTTTCTCTCGGTGAAATGATGAAGAGGTTTGCCATCTCAAAAGCCATAGGTACCCTCAGACTCTAAGTTGTTTCTTGCCAACTTTATATTGCTCTGGGTCAGACTCTTAGAGGGATGGAAATGAGGTGGATTTTGATTGCTTTTTATGTGAGAATCTGACTTGCACTCAGATGTGTAAGCAGCTTAATTGTCTGACTTGTCATCAACAGCCCCTGCCTTGCCTACTCGGGGAGAGGGAGGGCCGGAGGGAGGCATGTTTAAATGAACCTAAGAAGCAGATAAAGAACATGCTTTGCTCAGAGTTTTCCAGCTGGAAATGAATGAGGTGGTTTTGCTAGGCGTGCATCCCGCATTTCTAGTTAGGTCTGGAAACTGCAGCTGAGCAGGCGGACCATTTTACCAGCCTGACTTCGACACCAGAGAGGTATGGAAATGGGTTAGACATTCTCTAGAGCATGGTGGCCACGCAAAGTCCAAGTACTTCCTTTCAATCTGACATGAGTTTATAGGACTTTTTAAAAAATTTTTTATTGTTATGTTAAATCACATACATCATTAGTTTTTGATGTAGTGTTCCATGATTCATTGTGCATAACACCCAGTGCTCCATGCAGAACATGCCCTCTTTAATACCCATCACCAGGCTAACCCATCCTCCCACCCCCCGAGTTTATAGGACTTTTTAAAGATTTTACTTCTATTTTTTAAAGATTTGTTTATTTTTGAGTGGGGAGGGGCAGAGGGAGAGAGAGTCTTTAGCAGACTGTGTGCGGAGCCCGACCTGGGACTCGATCCCACAACCCCAAGATCACAACCTGAGCCAAAACCAAGAGTCGGACATTCGGCTGGCTGTGCCACCTAGGCACCCCTAGGGATTTTATTTTTAAGGAATCTCTACACCCAACGTGGGGCTCGGACCCACGACCCCGAGATCAAGAGTCGCGTGTTCTACTGACTGAGCCAGCCAGGCGCTCCCAGTTTATGGGACTTCAATCAGGATTTTACTTAGATGGTGAGCAAGTCATATTTATGAGCTTCTCTGAGTGCTGGGCGAAGCAGAGATATGCTTAGCCGTGTCCAAGACTATCAGACTCTGCAAGGATGAGCTCTTCTCTGAGTGGGTTAAAGATCAAAGTTAGCGACTGAAGGGTTTAAAAGACGAGGTCCTCATTCATCCTGTGCGGACAGATGCAAAAGGGAGGCATTGCTGGGGAAAATTCTGTCAGTGGACAAGAAATGAGGTCATTCCTGTCCGCCTACCCGCCGGGGTCCTAGGCCAGTGAACACGAGGACCTTCAGAGCTTGGTTGCAAGTGGGATGAAGGGTCACAGTTGCCACCTGCCCTGGAGCTGGGAGCTCACCTGCAACACTGGGACAGCGGCGACAGGATGGAGAGTTCGTCCTGGGAGTGTCGTCCAAACCTGGAAGGGGGGATGGGCTTTCAGGGCGATCTCCCCCCACACCTCCCTCCTAATGGTTTCCTCTCTCTATCTCAGCCTTGTTCTGACAGCCCGGGGTAAAATGCCTGGGATCAGCTCCCAAAAGCCTCTGTGCAAAGGGATTACAACCAAGCATCATTCGTTCGTTCGTTCGTTCGTTCGTTCGTTCATTCATTCATTCCCTAACTACAGAGGGCCAGACACTGAGGATGAGCCACGCACTCTGCCTCCAGGACTGAATCACTTAGTAAAAACATGTCAGAGGAGAATCCAGCATTATTTAGCAAAGATCGGGAGAAAAAGGAAATGGAACAAGGAGGGCAGGGCGACCGGGAACGTGACCGTGGAAGGGCCTCATTCTCGGGGGGCCTCCGGTTGGCCCTGAGCAGCTGCACCCAGGGCCATGGCGGGGACAGTGGTGTTTGGACACTTACCCTCTGGCATTGTCAAGGTGAATGAGGAACCCATCGTCCCCGAATTTGGTGAACATCTCATAATGGTGCCGGTCCATATTTCCTGCAAAGGAGGGCAGGTGCTTCTGACCTCTGCGTCCTCCCTAGGCAACTGAGTCAGGAGTCTGAACCCAGGGCCCCATGCTGTTTCCCACGGTTATTAGTGACGGTGCAGGGGGAGAGGGGGGCTAAGTGAGCACAGAAACCCTCATATGGGCAGGCTGTACACTGTGTGCCTGCCTTCTGAGTGAGGTCCTCTCTAAAGAGGGGAGCATGTTGTCAACCTCTGTCCTCTGGGACCTCTGCCACTTCCAAGGCTCTGGGCCATGTGAGTTTCCTCAGGCCTCACGGTCCAGGCTCCAGCTCATTGCCCAAGGTCACAGCGAATCCCAGCCCCACAGCAGAGGCCCCTGCCGTCAAGCGCCCGAGCGCGGGGATGGGGACCCACCTATCAGGAAGTCGAAGATGGCCATGTCGATGATGTTGAGGAGACGGTTGCTACTGTTGTACGGGTAGATCTGCTTCACGGTGTCGCAGTAAAGCGGATTCACCTCCCACCTGAGGGGAGAAGAAATCCTGGGGCTGGAAAAGCCAAGATGGCAAGGTGCTGGGGGCCCTCCTCCCACCCCCCCGTGCCCCCCCAAGATCCCTGCCTCCCGATCCCAACTCTGGGGCCTAGGCTTCCCGGGGTTTACTCGGGTGGGGCAGGTGTCGCTCCTGCGGGCTCCTCACGTGCTTCTCTCTCTGACAGCAAGTGCGCTGCTGTGTTTTCGTAATCTGCCTACTCGTCTGACCGCCCCCCTAGGCCGGGGGGAGCCTGTGTCTTTCATTCCCGTACCCCTAGCACGTAGGAGGCTCTTTGTAACTGAATACATGAACCAAAGCGGGGAGAACGGGCACAGCTGGCCCCAGGACTGGTCTGAGATCAGGAAATGATTGGGGTTTGGGGGTCCAAGAGCCAGGCTGGTGGCAAGGCCTCGGTGTGGGGAGGCAGCCACTCCCGGGGACCAGACGGCAGGGCCGTGGGCATGGCATCGTGGCCAGGGGGCCGACTCACTCCTCTTTTCCTGCCAGCGAGTAGGAGCGGATCCAGGGGTTGGGCACCGACAGCCTGGGGGCCAGGTTGAGAGACGGCAGGAACGCGGAGAGGGAGCCCTCCAGCAGGTGCGGGTTGCCACACACGGCGTATTCGGTCTTGCACATGTACGGGCACTTGGCAAAGAAACACACGTTGCTGGCTGGAGGGCACGGGAGGAGAGAGAGAAGGAATAAGGAGGCAGTGCCCTGTTCCTGCTCCTCCCCGCCGGAAAATCCCCCAGGAGGGAAGGGAAAGCCTCAACTCACAGCCTGGGCAGAGGCAGCAAGAAGAAGAAAATATTGCTTTCCCAGATGTCGGGGCTTGTGAGTGCTCTTAAACTGAGCATCCCAGGCACTAATTTTTCAAATGTCTCCGAGGAGGGAAAGTGTGGGCCCCAGCCTCACTGCCTTCCACCCAGATGATGAGAATGCTCTTTGCTCGCATGGGTAACATCTGAGTCCAGGGAGGCTGGCATTGTTGTTCATGCCCACCCAGGCTACTTGGCATTTCACCTACGACCCTTTCCCAGCCCCAGTTCATCTGGTGTGGGCCAGGATGGGAGAGTCTGGCGGCAGCATATACCCCTCCCAAGGAGGGCCGGCAGGCGCTCAGACCACTGGGAACGCATCAGCGGCCACAGGGGCCGACCCTCCTACACCCAAAACATAGCTCGGGCCAGTACTCTACCTGGAGAGACGAAGAAAACACTCTGCAGGATTTCATTCTTGGTGACCTCTAGGATTTCCTTGGTGACATTGACTAGCCTCCCCACTGTGGGTGGCACCCGTCGGAAGTCCAGAATCCTGGAGGAGAGAAAGCCCTGTTCACGTCTGGGGGATCGTCAGAGGGTCGGATGGTCGCCCCTTAGAAACGGGCGGGCATTCCTGACCACGTGCAGCCCAGGGCACTCTGCAGTACTGAGCTGACCACACCCAGGGCAAAGCTGTGTCTAAGCAGAAGGGGTGTCAAAAGACTCCTGATTCCAGCAAGCCTTCCCACAGTCCAAGCTATGTTCTAGGTCAGAGCTTTTCATATGTTACTGGGCATGTGAGTGACCTGGGCTCTCGTTCACATGCAGGCTCTCTTTCAGTGGGTCCAGGATGAGCCCGAGCTTCTGGATTTCTGAAGAGCTCCTGGGGTGGGGCCCCGGCTGCCAGTCCGTAGAACACACCTTGAGTAGCCAGGACGGGCCGATGGGAGAGGAGGAAGTTTAGGCATGTGCTTTCACCTTTGGGTGAAACGGGATACATGGGATTGGATGCATTCTCCCCGTTTCCAATCAGGAAACCAGAGCGAAGGGCAAGGTCAGGTACAAGGTGGCAGCCTGAGCAGCCTGGCAGGGTGGTTAGTTTTCTTTCTAGGTCATTCTTTTCACTACATTAGAGGCCTTGTATTTTCCAAACGTGGGGTTGAACAGGAGATGTGTTGAGTTCAAAGGCATCACTGAGGTTCGTGAGGAAGACAGGATGCCGCAAGGAAGAAATGCCAGGGAGTTCCCACCTGAGGGTCTGCCCAGCACCCCTCGGCCCGTCGGCCCTTGCGCTCAACGCCATGTCCCCGGGGCCCAACCCTACCTACCTGTCCAGGTGGAAAGCTGCGATCTCGGCATTGTGTCTCTGGAAGTCTATGAAGTAGAAGAAGTCCGCGGGTGTCTCTTCATCTCGCTGCTGTCTGGAAGGAAGGGGGGAATCCCGCCCTGGACTCAGACTTCGTCAGGAGCCTGAGCAGAGAGCTGAGAAGCATGACCAGAGGGAGAGGAAAACAGGCTTCATGCTTTTAATGTACGTGTGCCTGATGGAACGACACAGCAGGGACAGCCCGCGGCTCCCGCGGCTCCCGTGGCTCCCACGGCTCCTGCGGCCGGGAGAAGACACGTGGGCTTCTTGCAAGACCTGGTCCTGCAGGCACTCCCCGGACCACGTCCCCTATTTGAGCCACTCTGGTGACAGCAGCTGATCCATTTAAAAGGTAGTTGAGTCGGGAAGATACAAAGACATTCTTGGGCAGGTATAAACAGAAGAGAGGGACCCGCTAGCCCACCAGAGGCGCCACAGACCCAGATGTCAAGAGTTAGAGGTGGGGGAGGAGGCGGGGCTTTTGTAAAAGGAAAAGTGTCCTAGGGATGCCGTTTAATACAACTGATATTTGAAGACCAGAAAAGGTCCAGGTCTTAGGGTGACCGGGGTGAATAAATGAGCCTGTCCCCTCAGAGAAACCTCAGCTGGGTCCTGAGAGTGAGCCCAGCCAGAGGCTTGAGGGAGGCCGGTGCAGAGGATATTGATTTGCACACATTTTAAAATCGCTAATGGATTCCTGAAAAGCATCAGGCCTGCCCGAGTGTGACAGGCTGGCCGGGTATGAATGTTCCGAAAGGTGCCTCCCAGTCCTTCAGGGCAGCGTGGCCTCTGGCCCCGAGCTTGACTTGCCTTGCTGCGAATACACATGGAAGAATGATGATCTAATTTTATAATCCGCCGTGGGGGACTATGTGAGGGCTGCAGGAGCAATGTAAATACCCATAATGTTGCAGAAAGCTGTAAATACCCAGCTCCAATTGAACTAGCAATGTGCACTGTGCCAAAAACACAAGTCCTGGAAACCACGGCGAGGGGCTGCCAAAAGCAGGCGTTCTGTTTTAAAAGGTGCAGCCACATGGAAAGGACAGGTCTCTGTGTCCAGGGGTGCCTCTATTCTCCTCCCTAGCGCTGCCACCGCCGCCGGATGCCTGGGCAGCAAGGAGCGTGTCCACGGGTCCCCATCTCCACATTTTAATTCGTGAATTCCATCCATAAGAATCCACAGTCTCTCCGACACCTTTTAGAATTTTCTAAAACATCATTTCCCCGTTTCTGTATGGCCTACCCTGATGTGACTTTAAATTTGAAAATCATTTTTACATCAGTGCTTCAAGAGCTGACGTATTTTTCCGCATCTATATTCTATAGATTTCATGAAAGATACGATCTTTAATTATGGTCATAATTTATGTTATCCAAAGATAAACTTCTACTTTCCCTTTTTAATAAGGGACACTTTTTTGTTTGCTTGTTCGTTTTACTTTAAATGACATATAGAAAACAACGCATGCTTTTCCAAGAAGTACGTTTTAAAATGATGCTTTTTGGCTTTGGATGAAATTTTATACAAATGCTGATTAAAGTTTGTGTTATGGTCTAAGAATAGACAAAATGGCTTTTATGACCCAATGTTGGAAATTTCTGCATTCTATTCAGCAAGAAAACTGGTTCCTTTAGACAGTCTTTGCATGTCGTTTGTAAGTGACGGGGCAGAGAAGCGGCGGAAGGCTGGGACTTCCGGTCCTTTCCTGCACAGAAAACGTGGCCAGCGTGAGTGGTTTTCCTCCCCACACGTGAAAAGTGAAAGTAAAGCCCCCCCCCCCCGGTGGAATTAGCTTTAAGTTCATAAAAAAATCACAGCCATCTTAAGGTGCCAGATAAAAAAGCTGCTCAGAGCATGAAACTCATGGATCTGATGAGGGGTGGTCAGTGTGCAGATTTATCATTGTTTTTCTGCTTCCCTTTAAGGTCTCGTGTTTCCCCATCGGTGTTCGCTCCTCCTGCCTCCTCTCTTTAACCAGGGCTCACTTCTGAGTCTACACTAACCCTGCATGACTAACCGTCACAATGACTTAAAACAATGTAATGCCTCAAACATGACGGCTCTGTGTCCAGGGGAGTGGTGTGCCCAAGAATCACCTGGCTGCTTCTGGAGCCTTGGCTAAACCAGCCAGATGGGCTCACTGAGGTCGCTCCCTTTCCAAAGGAACACAACTCTTTCTTCCCAGGATTTGAGATGCCTGAATATAAGACGAGATCCCCTCTCCAAACTCTCCACATCCACTGATTTTTGGTCGAAACTCCCTCACGGCTGCCACAGCTGAGGAAGGCGGTCACTTACCTCATGGGTTTGAACATGGCCTTCCCGAAGTCTGAGAACCTCAGAACCAGCTTGAGGTGGACCCCGCTGGGTTTCACAACTGTGAGGGGGGACAAGGGAGAGTGAACACTGTTTCTGGGCCTACCCTTGGGGCTGCAACCTTTTGTTCTTTCAAAAAACCCAGCCGATTTCTTCTTTTTGCTCTTAGGTAGTAAGACCCCGAAGACTAGCATTTGCTTTCGAAGCCTGCAGTGTAGATTCTAGTATTTCGGGACACGGAGAGCGTGTTTGGGGGCTCAAGACAATCGTCAAGTCTGCTCTTATGGGAAAAGGGTAAACGAGGCAGGTTTCCCGAGGTAGACACCCACTGAAAACCCCTCTTCTGTGCTTCCGAGGGACCCCTATGGCTTGGCTTCCGATTGTGCCACCTGCTACGTCGTGTTGGACTAGTTTACCTGCATCTCTTTCTATTTCAGACTGCACACCCGGGCCGGGACAGGGTTTGGTGACTGGGACACCTGTGGCACTCTTACCTCACCCCGCGCTCAGCACTGCCTCCTGACACATTGCGTTCTGGCCGCTTCACTCGCTTTGCCCCGTCCAGGCCTTGCTATGAGCCCCGCGAGGGTTGGGACAATGTCTTACTCACCTTTGTGTTCTATAAAATGGCAAATGGTGGGCAGGTGCTAAACCAAAGCAAAGGGAAGCCTGGGGCCCTACAAACTCTCCTTCGAACCTTTAACACCTCACGGCACATATGGGAGTTTCTATGTGTGTTCAGTATATTGAAGTAAACGGATGAAGTTTACTTCAGGTTCTGATTTGGAACAGCAGAGCGGGGACTGAGATTTTGCATTCCTAATAAGCTCCCCAATGATGCTGATGATGCAGGGGACCACACACTCTCCAGCAGGGCCCTAGGAATAGCCCCTCCCAAATGCCTTTTCTTTTGTGCGGGTGGGTGGGTGGAGAGAAATGTCGAGTTCTTAGAGATTGGGCAGAGAGAGTCATGCTCCTTCAACTTCCAACCAGGACCCCCACGGAGTGGACGGTGGGCCCCTCATGTTGCTGCCAGGTCCCGGGGTTCACAGCGCTCTGGCATTGAGGGGGCTGGACAGAGGTGGGGCCAGGCCACTTACTCTGGGTGCAGTCACATGCCCCAAGCAAGGCCTTCTCGTCCTGACTGTAATCTGAAAAGGAGGAGAAGGGCAGTGAGAACATCCAGGCTTGTTCCTAGGAGACCTCACCATGCAGGACCCTTCACTCTGGTTCAGACCACAGAGGGGGAGATGGTGAGGCAGCCTGGGGCCCTTGTCCATTCAACAGGGGATGGCTCCGGGCCCCAGCTGGATGCAGCCTCCACCCTATTCAATCCCAGGCCCCAGGCCCTCTAGCCCTTCAGTGGATGCTCCAGCAGCACCTGGCGAATGATCGAGCCTAGTTTGGTCCCTGTTAGTGATTAGACTGTTGAAGTGCTTGAGAGCACAGACCTGGGACAACAGGACTGTGTTTGAATCCCAGCACCACCACTGGGTCTCTAGCCAAGTTGCTTAACTTCTCTGAGCCTCAGTTTCCCCACCTGTAAAATGGCCATGATAATATCTATCTGTATAAAAGAGAGTGGCCAGGTTCCCGAGAAGCACTCAATAATGGTAGCAGCCACCATTCTTTTATGTGCACAGAAACACTTTCTTAGGGCTCTCTGATGGGGTCGTGATGAGATTAGAATGATAAGATCTCATTCAAAGGGAAAAAGATCAGTGTTTGTTTTTCTTATTATCCTATCAGGTGTTAGAGCCAACCCTTTAATATTTCACGCTAGAGCCCAGGCTGAGATGGTCTATGCAGCCTCTCCGGGAGAAAGTCAGTGCATCCTGCCTGACCCTGTGAATCTCACCAGCACTGATGGTGGGAAAGCGCCTCATGTCCTGGAGAAGTTGGCTGACGACAGGACTGGACCGGGAGTACAGCCCGTGGCGGCTGATCCCCAGGTGGAACTGGACCCAGCTGGCCTCAAGTCGGAGCTGCTGTGGAATGTCCAAGGAGGTGAGGTTGAGCTGCTCTTTGTACATCTTGTGTCGTCTGAAAGAGCAGGAGAGTTTTGTTTTGTTTCAGTCGGGACTATACGAAATGCGAAGACTTGCCAAAGCACCTTGTCTGGACTCTCTATGCATTCTTTCATTCATTCAACAACAGTAGTCAGCACCTACTTTGTACCTGGCTTTATGCTGAGCTTAGGATACCATGGGGGGCAAAACAGGCATGTGCCTTCCTTGCCCTCAGAAGGATTATAATCTGGTGAGTGCAACGGGCACCCAGTTGCACATTGCCATACACAAATACACAAATACCTAACTACAAGCCATGATCAATATGGCAGAGGAAAAGGGCAGATGGTTAAGAGTAAAATTAGGGATTTCATATAATCTGGGATCTCGGGGAGGTATTTGAGATCTTTCTTGTTTCTTGAGAAAGGCTTGTATTGCTATATACTTGCCTCTTAGGACTGCCTTTGCTGCATCCCAAAGATTTTGAAGTTGTGTTTTCATTTTCATTTGTTTCCATGAATTTTTTAAATTCTTCTTTAATTTCCTGGTTGACCCATTCATTCTTTATTTTTTTTTAAGATTTTATTTATTTATTTGAGAGAGAGAGAATGAGAGAGAGCACAAGAGGGAAGAGGGTCAGATGGAGAAGCAGACTCCCTGCTGAGCAGGGAGCCCGATGCAGGACTCGATCCCTGGACTCCAGGATCATGACCTGAGCCGAAGGCAATCGCTTAACCAACTGAGCCACCCAGGCGCCGCCATTCATTCTTTAGTAGGATGCTCTTTAGCCTCCATGTATTTGAGATCTTTCCAAATTTCCTCTTGTGATTGAGTTCTAGTTTCAAAGCACTGTGGTCCAAAAATATGCAGGGAATGATTCCAATCTTTTGGTACTGGTTGAGACCTGATTTGTGACCTAGGATGTGACCTATTCTGGAGAATGTTCCATGTTCACTAGAGAAGAATGTGTATTTTGTTGCTTTGGGATGGAATGTTCTGCGTGTATATGTGAAGTCCATTTAGTCCAGTGTGTCATTTAAAGCCTTTATTTCCTTGTTGATCTTTTGCTTAGATGATCTGTCCATTTCCGTGAGGGGGTTGTTAAAGTCCCCTGCTCTTATTGTGTTGTTGTCGATGTGTTTCTTTAATTTTTTTTATTAATTGACTTATATAATTGGCTGCTCCCACGTTAGGGGCATAGATATTTACAATTGTTAGATCTTCTTGTTGGAGAGACCCTTTAAGTAGGATATAGTGTCCTTCCTCATCTCTTATTATAGTCTTTGGTTTAAAACCTAATTTGTCTGATATAAGGATTGTCACCCCAGCTTTCTTTTGGTGTCCATTAGCATGGTGAATGGCTTTCCACCCCCTCACTTTCAATCTGGAGGTGTCTTTGGGTCTAAACTGAGTCTTTTGCAGACAGCATATCGATGGGTCTTGTTTTTTATCCAATCTGATACTCTGTGACTTTTGTTTGGGGCATTTAGCCCATTTACACTCAGGGTAACTATTGAAAGATGAATTTAGTGCCATTGTATTGCCTGTAAGGTGACTGTTACTGTATATTGTCTCTATTCCTTTCTGGTCTATGTTACTTTTAGGCTCTCTCTTTGCTTAGAGGACCCCTTTCAATATTTCTTGTAGGGCTGGTTTGGTGTTTGCTAATGCTTTTAGTTTTTGTTTGTCCTGGAAGCTTTTTATCTCTCCTTCTATTTTCAATGACAGCCTAGCTGGATATGGTGTTCTTGGCTGCATATTTTTCTCGTTTAGTGCTCTGAATATATCATGCCAGTCCTTTCTGGCCTGGGATCTCAGGGAGGTATCCAGGGTCTTTTTGTGCACTTTTCCATGAAAAAGTCTGTACGTTTATATTTCCCACTATTTTCTGACCTACGGAGTGAGGAGATGGGGGACAGAAAGAAGGTACCTGGTGAGAAGGAAATGGAGGGTGAGGATGCCTTCAGTAGAGCTGGAAGCCAAGTAGATTAACAATAAGTCATATAGGAAAAGAAGAATCCATTAGCCACTTACTGTTTGTCCCACTCCAGAGCCTTTTCTGCCAGGGTACAAAGAAAAAAGTAACAGAACAATGCCGGGCGCCTGGGTGGCTCAGTCGGTTAAGCGACTGCCTTTGGCTCAGGTCATGATCCTGGAGTCCCGGGATCGAGTCCCACATCGGGCTCCCTGCTCAGTGGGGAGTCTGCTTCTCCCTCTGACCCTCTTCCTTCTCATGCTCTCTGTCTCTCATTCTCTCTCTCTCAAATAAATAAATAAAATCTTTAAAACAAAACAAAACAAAAAAAACAAAATTCTTAAAAAAAAAAAAAAAAAAAAAAAAAAAATTTTTAAAAAAAAAAAAAAAAAAAAAGAACAATGCCAGTGCTGTATAGAGGCGAAGAGTCTAGTTTGGGAGACAAGTTGTAGGTCTATGAAATCATCAGAGAAAAAACAGAAAGCTGTTGTAAATTGACTGCTAAATAGGTGGTTCAGACTAAAACACCCCAATATTTTGGAGAAGGCAAAGATGCTTACATGATGAAGTGGTCAGATGAAGACAACCGTGGAGGAAGGTGGGCTTCAGCTGGGTCCTAAAGAATGGGTGGTGTTGGGATTGAATGGGGCGTTATGAGGGCACTCCTGGGTTGGGGATGATAGAAGGGCTAGGAGAGGTTGGCAGGGGACAGGTGTATGTGAGGGTCAGAGGGGCAGGTTGAGTAAATGGATGGTTGGATAAAAAGATGGAGGCCTCCAGCTGGAAGGCAGAGCAAGTGAGCATGATGTCATCTGGTGAGGTAAAGCTGACTGTGGGGGCAGGGAATGGGTGGGTGTTCCTACACATCCATATTTCTCCAACTGATAGCCTACCTCTGAGGTCTGTGATGGGACTGAGGTGTCTTTTTTTTTTTTTTTTTGCTATAACTTTTGAATTCTGAATTCTTATCACTTTGAATTCTATTAAGAATACAGTATCTTGTAATACCACCGAATCAACATTGACTCATTGTTTTGTAAACATTTAATTACATATGAGTTCGTTTTGATTTGGGAGTTTTCATTTTTGAGCCTATATAATACATTTTCTTTGCTCAGGTCTTGGAGCATTTTAAAAGCTTTTGTAATTTGGGCACCGTGTCCACATTGCGAAAGGGTAGAGACCCCTGACCTACTGTCTTAGTCAGCTCAGGATGCCCAAACCAAACACCACTGACCGGGGAGCTTCAACACCAGCCATTTATTTTCTCACACTTCTGGAGGCTGGCCGTCCAAGACCAAGGTGTGGTTGGGTGTGGTTTCTCCTGTGACCTCCTTCTCGGGCTCGCAGATGGCTGTCTTTTTTCTTGTCTCCTCATGTGACCTTTTCTCTGGTGTATCTTCCTCTTCTTATAAGGATGCCAGTCCTATTGGGTTCAGGCCCACTCTATATAGGAATCTTGGGGGGACACAAATCAGTCCATAGCCCTTGCTCACCCACAAGGTTTGCTGCTAATCACCAGAAAGGTCCACCCCAGAAGACTGTCCTCAACTCAGTTCGGGGGGTCAGGAGGGAGGAGGGGTGGGATGACAAGGTAACTGTCCATCGCGGAGACCTGCGACCTGAACACATTTCCGCCCATCTACGGAATTCCATGAGACTCATTGCTGTCAGGCAGGGCGACTACTTCCATTCTTTCTTTAATCAGCTTCTCTGGGGGTTAAGAGAAGTACTTGGTATTAGTCTGCTCTGGCTGCCATAGGAAAATACTGCAGACCCAGTGACTTCAACAACAGACATTGATTTCTTGCAGTTCTGCGGGCTGGGAGGTCCAAGATCAAGGTGTGGGCAGATTCAGTTCTTGATGAGGGTTTACTTCCTGGCTTGTGGATGGTCACCTTCTCACTGGGTCCTCACATGGAGAGAGAGGAAGCGCTTTTCCTTTCTTATGAGGATGCTAATCCCATCATGGATCCCTACGCTCATGACCTCATCTAAACCTAATTATTTTCCAAAGGCCCCACCTCCAAATACCATCACATTGGAGGTTAGGGTTTTGACCTATGAATTTGGTGGTGGGAGGGGGGGAAGGGAGGACTCATAAATACTCAGTCCATAAAAAGAGGAGCCTATTTTTCCACCCTTAACTCATCTGCAGAGAACATTTACTTAACATGCAAGGGAAAACATACTCCCCATCTAAAGGGGAGAGCTGCTATTAAATTTCAGTTAACAGTAGTCATGCCTTGTCATTGCTTATTCATTTATTCATTCACCAAATATTTGTTGACTGCTAGACACTGATCTACATCCTGGAGCTAAGGCTGTGTACAAAACAAAGTCTGTGTTGTCATGAAACTTACATTTCCTGGGAAATCATTTATTCTGAGTTTTCAAGAGAAGCTAGAAATCCAGATTTTGGTCAGAATGTAGAATCTCCTTTTTAAAGCACGTTGACTTAAATCTAAAAACATCCTGCATCGGCTGCATATACACACAAAGGAAACAAAACCAGTATCTTGAAGAGATACCTGCATTCCCATGTTCATCGCAGTATTATTCACAACAGACACGGAAGGGACCTACATGTCTGCCAATGGACGAGTGGATAAAGAAGATGTGGTATATATACAAGAGAATAGTATTCAGCCTTAACAAAGAAGAGAATCCTGCCATTTGCAACATCGTGAATGAACCCGGAGGACATTATGCTAAGTGAAATAAGCCAGACGCAGAAAGACAGATATTGCATGATCTCACTTACGTGTGGAATCTAAAATAGTCCAGCTCATAGCAGCAGAGAGTAGAATGGTGGTTGCCAGGGGCTGAGAGGAAGGGGAAATGGGGAGCTGTTGGTCAAAGGGTACAAAGTTTCAGTTACACAGGATGAATATGTTCTGGAGACCTAATATACGGTAGTGTCACTATAGTTAACAATACGCTATTGTATGCTTGAAATATGCTGAGAGAGTAGATTTTTAGTGTTCTCACTACACACACGCCTGATAGTGATGAATTATTTCACAACGTATCAAAATATTATATATCTCAAAATATTA